TCTTTAAAATTCTTTCCTTTTCCTCATGACTGGTGAGGCCACGCCTCCCCTGCCTCTAGTGACTGCACGTCCCTGTGTATACACATACACACACTTATGCAAAAACTATTGCAGAAGGAATAGTATCAAATCAAATAATGTTGTAGAGATGCAGAATGGAAACAGCTGCAAAAAAAATGGAAAAATATGTTGTCTCTCAGCTACTCTAACCCTTGGTAACCTCCAGAAACTTACAACCATAATCCTGGCAGGTGGTTGCCTATCCTGCCCTCTGTTGAAATAATAGACCACCATCACTTTGTAGGGCAACCAGAAATTAGCATTAGGCAAGTTGGGTTCATGTTTTCATAAAATCTCTTTCTCACTAGCCTATCTTCCAGGAATGCAGTTGCCACCAAAATATGGTGCCAACTGAACAGAATCAGGACAGGACATGCCAGAATTAAGACAAAGCTATTTGAGTGGGGAATGGCCAAGAGCCTGCAATGTAACTGTAGTGCATAGGAACAAATGATAACACATATAGTTCAAGAATTAGGAAATTTCAAGGTACCTGGAATGATCTCATTGCAGCCATAACAGAAGCAGTTTGATGGTTAGCTTTCTTAGATATCAAATTATTATATCTATCTTATTGCAATTCTACAGTGCCATATCGTGCTGATTTTATCATACTTTTATCTTATTTTAATATTTTATCTTGTGTATTGTATTGCGGGTGGCCCAGTGTCTCAGCAGTGGCTTAGCCTGGTAGCCCAGGTTCAAGAACCAAGCATCAGATGATGAGGTGAGCTCCCATTCTCACCTCAGCTCCTGCCAACCTAGCTGTTTGAAAGCATGTAAATAGATACCACTTTGGTAGTAACAGCAGTCTGTGATGTCATGCTGACCACATGGCTGTGGAAATGTGTTGGGAGAGCACTGGCTCAATGGTCCTTAAATGGAGATGAGCACCACCCTCTATAGTCAGCAATGACTAGCAGAGTCCAATCTGCAGGGATTCCTTTACCTTTATATTGTATTGGCCACATTTTTATATTATAGTATGTTATACTGTACATTAAATTATAAATTATTTCTGACAATACAGTATCTTTTAATGATAATACATACCATATTTCCTCTTGATTTACATGCTACTATAGCAAAGATAATTCCACTGCAATGTACATGCAAATAGGTGGACATATTTGATAGAGACTAAGCAAAATGCATTTCCTGCTATGTGTGAAGTACAAAGTGCAGCGTCTTAGCCAAAGAAACAGCAGAATGGTTATCTAATACTAAGTTTCCTAATTTCCAAATCAACCTTCAACAGCAGGACTGGTAAAAGACTCTTATCTGCAGCATATGGATCAGATTTGACATCAGGAAATGGCCATGAATGTCTGAGGGCCTTCCCACCAGCCCATCCCTGGGAAAATATAGATAATAAGCAGGGAAGGTCTAAAGGGTTTTGCTAGGTAATTCAAAATAGTAAAGATATATTAACGTACTCAGCACAGACAGGACAAATCCAGGACCCTGAATTTATTAACAACTTATTAAATTAATACCTGAAGCTATCATCTCATGTTGCTTAATGCTGAGAACTGTTGTACTAGTAATTTCATGCAACAGATCAAATAAATGTATACCCTGAAATGTCCATTTGGTATTATATTACATAGTTATTAATTGCCTAATTAGAATAACATCTTTTTTGACCTTTGATTGAGCCTTGTAACCAAGAAAATATAAGCAACGTTCATGATTCTCATTACCTGTAGAGGAGAACATCTTAATAGTCACAGTTGATAACACACAGTAGATCACCTTCCTTAAAGGTGAAGAAAAACCCTTATTATCAGTGCAGCTAGTTCTGTTACAGGAACCAGAAGGAAGCAAAGATAACTACTGACCAATATGTACAATAGTACATTGTATTATTGGCCCATTTTGTAGTATCAGATTATTCCTAAAGATGAAAACTAAATTACTATTCCCTATACATAATATTTGTCATCTTTTTAGATAATGTTTAATTTGTTTTGATTATGGAGAAGAGAAATTAGCAATTTGCTACTGGTTGGTAAGGCTTTCAAATCTTAACACAATGAAAGTCACAGATTTCGGCTCTGATATGTGTATCCATATATGGAAGTGGTCTGCTTAATGGGCAGATTATTCCAGGGGATATTGGAATGTTCATCTCAACCACATGTCTGAGTAGTTCAGTCATTTCCTGAAAATAAATCTTGTGGTCCAGTTCCTAACTGAATGGGATAGCACTAACTACATCTTCCTTCTAGAAGATTTGCTATTCAAAACTATTAAACTGCTCCCAGGACAGCCAGACTGATGCAATCTGAAGGAAGAATAACATTTTTAACACCCTATCCATAGAATAGAACATTTCATGTACCACTATCGTCTAATAGATCCTGAAAAGGTTTTACCTGGAACTCAGAAGAGCTTATGTCTGTTAAAGTAGATAATTTAAAACAATTAGTCCAGTGGTGAAATTCATTTTTTTTACTTCCGGTTCTATGGGCATGGCTTGGTGGGCATGGCAGGAGAAGGAAACTGCAAAACATTCCGTTCCCACTCCACTCCAGGGGAAGGATACTGCAAAATCCCCATTACCACCCCACTCTGGGGTCAGCCAGAGGTGGTATTTGCCTGTTCTCCAAACTACTCAAAATTTTCACTACCGGTTCTCCATAACCTGTCATAACCTGCTGAATTTCACCCCTGAATTAGTGCCTTTTAATAATTTAAACAATACAGTTAAAAGATGAACAGCGATAGAATTGCTTGCATCTACCACTGTTTTACTTTTAATTGTATTGTTTAAAGTAGATAACTCTGATCTACACAGCTATATCATCTTCAGAGAATCAAAGAATGTTATGATTGGAAGGTAGCTTGGGGGTAATTCAGCCCAAAATCCTGGTGCAGAATCTATTATTGGACTATCCCTGACAAGACAGCCATCCAGCTTCTGTTTAAGCTCCTTTAGTTATGAAGAAACTATCATTTCTTAAGGCAGTTTGTTCCATTGCTTTATAGCTGTTACTGTTAAACAATGTTTTCTGATGTCTGATAGAAATCTTCTTCCTTACCATTTACACTCATGGTTTCTCCTCCTGTACTCTGGAACAATTCTGAACAAATCTGGCGCATCTTCTGACTGTCATTTAATATTTGAAGGGAGTGAGTGTATCTCCTAGTCTTTTTCGGGCTAAAAGTATTCAGAACTTCCAAAGTATTCCTCAAATCACTGAGATATGAAAGTTATTTCCAGTCCACAATGAGGTAGAAGTATGCACATCCAATTAAGTAAGAATATTTACAAAATATACTTACTGGGTTGTTTCTTGAATCAAATATCTTCTCATTGCATAAGCTAACATTGCTTTAAATAGATATTCTTCAGTAGCATCCCAGCTATACTTAAAAAACAAACAAACAAACTGATTGGTATACATGGGGAGCTAGAAAAATGCATTTTCCTCCCATAGCCTCTAGGGAAAACAGTAAATGCTTTTGACAATTACAGAAATAGTATTACAGTTTAGAGACATATATTTTATATAGTAATTTCTAAACGTTACATATTTTATAAATTTTGTCAAGTTACTCTCTTTCTGCAAACTGCTTAGTGTCATTGAAATTATCTCTAATTAATAATAGCTTACTTTTGCAGAATAAACTGTTGTAGTATGCTAATCATTGGCTGTCTAAATAGAGTCTGCATTAAAAGCTGCTGGTTTTACCAATGAACATTTAAACCTGATTTGGTTTATTTTAGATAGCTTAGACTTCAACTCCATAATGTCCTGATCACATAGCTTTTGATCTTCTTGGCTGGGAGTTATTAACTCCAGCATGTTTGCAAGTACCAGTATGGTGAAGGCTACCATAAATGATCTCAAATGGGGGGTGGGGGGAGAAGGAGGAATAAACTTTTTGCATCCAGAGACCACTGTTTTAGTTATTTGAGCATGGTGATACAACAGGGACCCCCTGATAGCTCACAAATGGGATAGGGCAATGGAAGATGGGAAGGAATTGCTGGATGGCAATGTTTTTAGCTGATTTAATAGTTCAGCAGTGGATTTCTTTATTGTTTATGTTTATTATCAAATTTATAACCTGTCTTTTTGCTTAAAGGATATCTTACAATAATAAAGCAAAATACAAGCTACAAAAGACACTATAAAATTGTACAATTAAAATAATTTAAAAACCAGTAATTCTATTGGGCACAATAAAGAGTTTAGAAGAAGGCAGTGACATGCGGTGAGGTTTATGGCTGGTGAGGCAGTCCTCTCCCCCAACACCCCACTGACTAAAGCACTTCCTTTCGGGGCAGTCCTCTCCCCCAACACCCCACTGACTAAAGCACTTCCTTTCGCCCACCTGTGCTCGCCCGCCTGAGCTCTGCTGCGGGCACAGGTGAGCGAAAGAAAGTCTCTTTCGCCTGCCTGAGCTGGCAGGCTGCCATGGACACAGAAGTGGGTGAAAAAAAGTGACTTTCACCCACCTGAGCTGGCGAGCTGCTGCAGACACAGAGGCGGGCGAAAGAAAGTCTCTTTCGCCTGCCTGAGCTGGCAGGCTGCCATGGACACAGAAGTGGGTGAAAAAAAGTGACTTTCACCCACCTGAGCTGGCGAGCTGCTGCAGACACAGAGGCGGGGGGGAGGAAGTCTCTTTCGCCTACCTGAGCTGGCAGGCTGCCATGGACACAGAAGTGGGCGAAAAAAAGTGACTTTCACCCACCTGAGCTGGCGAGCTGCTGCAGACACAG